TTCCTCAGTTTAGCCACGAGGATGCTGTTATGATTAAATGTGCAAGAATGAACATTTCTAAACCAGACGTCTAAAGATAAGCTGAGCGGCACAGAGTCTTATTGTACAGGCTGTAAAATCTCCTGTCATCCCCTGACCACCTACCTATCTTCATACCTCCTGGGAGAGCAAATCAGGACCATCTAAACAAACATTAAGACATAAAATACATGAATACAAGGCAACTACATATTTTTATAAGCCGAAGGAAATTACAAAAAAATCAAAGCAGGGGAGACTTTAGGGAGTAACCCATGAAAACATTCCACCTTAGTTTACCATACCTTCTACTGCTAATTCTTTCCATCTTTCTTTGTTTGCTTGAATGATCTTCATCAAGTTGTCCTTAAAGCTCCTTAGGTCTACAGTTGCTAGAGAATTTTCTGTGTGACTCCCTCCATCACTTGTACTTCTAAAACCAGGTCGTCTTTGTGCTTCAGCATTGCTTACTGCTCCCAAACTATTTTGACTGCAGAAGGGAAAAAATTCTAAATTATGAATGCAGCCAGGCAATTTTAATAATGCACAAATAGTTAATTTGAATCAAATTCCTTAGGACCTACATGCAATCATCAACTCGCGCCTAAGATACAAGACATTTCTTCAACTGTAACCTGGGACCGATTCTTACCGACCCTTTTCCAGGGAATTCTTGAAAAAAAAAGTGACAGCTGAAAATACATTACTTCTAAGTTGGTTCTTGAAAGAAGGTTTATGAAGCTATCTTGAAGTAGCTTCTTAGCTGTGTTTATGAATGGTATCTTTGGGGCTCACAGAAAAGATATCTGATTGTTATTTGTTGACCCATTTAAAAAAAGCAAGACACGAAAGTCAGGTAAGTAAGTCTAGCTTCGGATGAAAATTCTTCTCAAGGTACATGCCTTCAAGTTTTAGGTTTTAGTCAAAGCAGGTTTTAGCATAGTGGTTTCAAATCCACTTTATGAGCTACTGCAGCTACCTTAAATGTCAGATAAGGTAGAATTCAAATTGATTATTCGTATGTGAATATCCAGATACACGTAAAGGTGGGGAAAAAAGAACGAACTCTCTTTTTTCTTAGGATTAAAAAGTCAAACCTATTTCTGGCCTTCTTCAGGTAATCATGTCATACTAGGTTTTGTTTACTCAATTATGCTGCATAATTTAACTCAATGGTACCACAGACAGATGTTAATGTGCATACAAATTGTTTTCCATTAATCAGAAAACACAGTTGCAGTGAACTTATCTGTGAGAACTGCACAAGAAGAGTTAACTGTAATTTCTGTGTGCTCCAGAGATCTTGAATGGGACAGAATGGAAAGAATAGGCTATAATTCTCATGTTTTCCAGGCACCACAGTAAACGTCACACCATATACTCGTGGCATCCACCCAGTAGTGCTTGCACAACTATGCTGGCTCAGACGTTTCTGTATCATGCTATAGGCTCTCTACTTGCTTTGTAAGAGTAGCTCCTGATTCCATACTACGCTAAAATCCCTTTATCCTCCACCCCACACAAGGAAGCTTTGCTGTATCATAAGCCTCTGTCCATCTACTGCTCAGTCATGAACATCAACCAAAAATGAAGCCTGGAGGTACTAATCATTTGCACCTGCTAATCAATCATTTGTGAGGAACTGAGTAGGTAAACAAATTCATTATCCACAATGCCTTAGTTTAGCACTGTTCCTCAAAATACTAAGAACACTGTCATAAATATCTACTTGTAGTAACTTCTAGCAACCAAAATACATTTCAACTCATGATCAGACAAGAACTAGGTTAATCATTTTGCTATTAAAATCTAACTAATGCACAGCAAATGAAAAATTGCCCTGCAGAGTTATCGTATTAGTAGCCTCAGTGAAAGCTCAAATTACCATTTTAAAATGAAAAAAAATATGGTAGCAGAGGCAATATTTGTAAAACTAACATCTGACTATTGAACAATGCTTTCAGTGTGGAGTCACTCAGATAATATTGTCTGTCATATCTAGTTTTTTTTTTTTTATACAACTTCTATCATGGTGCAAAAATCAAGAACTTGATGGGCAACCCCCCCCCCCATCTCACTTATACTGTATTGGGATCAATTTTGTCTCAAGAGTATATATCAAAGAATACTAATATGGGAAAGTGAAGAAGGAAAGCGACCTACAGCATAATAAAAAGCCAGAAAAAAACCTGAAACCATCATCATCAACTCCTTTTCCAATTGTCTCTCAGAAATGAAAAAATTACTTTGTATTGTCAAAGTTATACTGAAAATGGTTCAAGGTAAGACAACTAGGAACTTCAATAATCTATTGCAAAGAATATAGTCAAAGGAAAGACATTGTTATTAGATATGCTGTAGAAAATCAAGTTTATATTTTATACATGTGCATTCTGACCATTATTGTGTTCTTGCCTTTTTATACGCACAATCATCCACAGTCAATGGGGTAACAGCATATTGCAAATGCAACATAGCACCACAAGGTGGCAATACTGTACAGCTATTTATGTTACTTTCCCAACTGTTCAAATAATTGCGATAATTCTGGGAATGACATTACTATGTTAGTTTATGTTAGTTCAATAACTAAGCAGTGTCTTCATACCTGGGTGTCCCAAATCCAGGACTTTCAGATTTTGATGCTTCCTCTATAAGAGGCATAACAATTTTCTCCATTGAATCCGTAAGAAGAGAAAATGTTGGTTCTACTATGAAATCAATAAAACCTAAAGAAGAAAAAGAGAAAAATTCAGATTTTACATTTCCACATCTCTAAAATCTAAAAATAAATAATTGGTATCAGGCTGATTTTCTGACTGTAGTTCTGATCCAATACACTAGATACCACTAGTAAAATCTTGAAGAAAAAAGCACAAATAAAAACAAAAACACCTGAAGCTGTATAGATATAACAAGATATTAATAATTACAGCTTTTCATTCCTTTTTCTTGCAAATTTTATGCACTGCAGAACACACCTATAATTTCAAATCAATATTATTTATTGAATAGAAGGGAAGCTACTGTTGAGACAGGGGGCTAGAAGTCATACTCTCTCTTTTACCATTTGGAGCTTCTTGCCAAGGAGTTAATATTTCAAACTGCTGTTTATTATTCTGTGGAGGTAAAGTGTGTAGGAGTGTTCTGTCAAATCAGAGAAGAGAATAAGTAATATCCTTAGGAGACAGCATTCATCCCACAGTTCTGAGATGTCAGCTCTGAACAATGTCTTTTACATTTTAAAGTGCTCATCAAGGTATGGAATGACACAGTGAAAGAATGAAGCATTATTCTCTGCTGAGCACTTAACAGAAAAAAAATGCTAAAACATGAGCTAGCAATGGATTTCCAGATGTCTTCACACTCTAACCATGCAACACAGCATAAAGGTGAGTAACAGTGCTTCAGCCTAGGATCCAGCTTCCCTCTTGCAGTAGGTATGATGCTCAGGCATGTTGCCTTTCAAGTCCCAGTGAAATGGAATAAAGGACATTTTGAGTGATGAGATCAGACAGGATGACATGCTTCAATTCAAGGATAAGACACTGTCACCTACAGAATCTCTCCCTGGGTACTGTGTTCACTCACATAAAAGGTACAGCTGTTGGTAGGACATACTGCTTTACTCAGTATGCTTCTAGGGTATGTCCTTGCAGCTAGCCCCAGTGATCTTCACCAATTTTTATTTCCTTATTATTGCTGATGGAAATGGGGATACAGAGAGCCAAGACCCACATTTCTGAAAATGGGAAGCCGAAGTTTGGCCACTGTTGACCAAAATGCAATTAGGATTGACAGGAACAGAATACCTGTGACCGTCTTAACTGCAGTCCAAAGATGTCACATATGAATTAGCTTTAAGTTGAAATGCATCTACAAAATGGTACCAGGCTTCAGATTGTGACAGAGACAGAGCTATGAGTTCTTGAGCAAGAGTCAATCTGTCTGAGGACATGTTCTACCAAACTCTAAAGTGTGTACAGTAAAAGTTCGTCTCATGTCCAGTATTTTAGTTAATCCCTCTCCTATCCCTCTTTGGCATCACGTATGCTGAAATTACTTCACGTTCTTTTGAGACCAGCATATTTCTGCTGTAAGAGCATAATGGTTTGGTGAACAGAAAGGTGCAAAGAAATACCTTCTATATGATGGCATTTGCAACATTCAAAATGGGTATGAGAAATGTCCACATGATTTCACATGCTCCTTCACACACAAGAACAACACAACTTGTCATTACCTATTTGGGACTGAGCTACCAAAGTAGACTTGCGGTCACAGAGTGGGGAAAACTGAAGACCTAAAGCAGCCTCCTTGTCTCCCTGCAAACAACAATGTTTAATATTACAAGCGCATATTTGTTTTTTAAAGGAATCTGAATGTTTTTAGTGTTTATTCAACAGATCACTTTGTTCACATATATTCCTAAATAAAAACATGCCACAGGCAAAAAAACCCTCATTATTTATCTTTAAATTTTCAGGAAAAGTAAAGGTCAAGTTTCTAACTTACATTTGACAGCTTTTATATAAAGGAATTTATTGCAAGCAAGATGTCTTCAAGAGCAATGCATTTGCCAATGAGATTTAACATATATGAAGTCCTTCAATATTCACAGTTTAGTCCCGCTGATCCCAGATGTGATGGAATTGGAGATGTTTAGACATTTCTGCAATAGTATGCCAAACGCTAACGATTTCCTTCTGTTACATTGGTTTACCCAACATGTAAAATTTTTTCAATGGATTTACACATGTCAAGGGCATGATCTGACTTGAACTCATTCTCACTAGCAGGCATGTTTCTTTGCTGCTGAAACTATAAAAGAACACAAGCTCAATTTCATTACAAAGAAGATTTGTACCACGTAGTTCTGAAAATATTTCAACACCTAATACACTAAAAGAGGTTTTTTGTCATAGCAGACAGGGGGTGTTATCTCCATTTTCAGCATGCTGGACCAACTGACTTGCAAAAGCTCAAAAACAAAGTCTAGTGGTGCAGAAAAACCTGAAGACACATCTTTCAAAGGAGGCTATAATTTGTGTTGCTGGACGAATCTGGCCCCCAGAGGCAATGACATCATAGATATAGGAAAACTTAGTCTTTCAAGGAAAATGACTCTACATATTAGATAGCGATGGAGAGTGCTGTTTCATGATCATTCAGTGGGGAGTAGCACATGAACATACAATTTTCCCAAGGATCTCATCAGAAGCTGACAGATGAAGGGGGCAGTACCAGCTTCCTTACTCTTTTTATCACGTATTGAACTAGATTTGAGAAATGTTTAGAACGATAATACCAATAAAACCACTTCAGCCACAGGAACAGATGTAGCTCACAGATTGTGTTTCATGTGGAAGTGCAGAGTTTTATCACTATGGCCTTTAAATTTTACACCCAAGTGTTCAGAATTTGACTTCAGAGTGTAGAAGGACACACGAAAACTTACTGCTAGAAGCAGTGCTAGCGGCATCTCCACGTAAATGGAGAGACTGTGATTGTGATATAATATAAACTGGGGTAGTTTTAACAATTTCAGACATTGTTGAATACAGGATTTCTAAAACAATATAAATTTAATAATCTTCCCTTAAATAGGTATTAAAAAAGAAAATTCCACACTAACAAATAATCAGTTTGAATTTTTTTTGCTTTCAAGTACCTCTTTACCCCAATTATTAATTACTTTGCAATTAATATAATACGTAATTAATACTTAAATGTCATATAAGTCAAAGTCTATTGTAAATTGTAATAATGGACACAGCTGATATCATCATAAACCAGTGCTGACATTTAAATTGATCATTAGAATTTAATTATATTTGAAATTAAGATCAAAACAGTAAAACAGTAAAAAAAAATATTTGCCCAGGTGCTGAACTCACCAGACAAATTCTCTTTTTGGGCTTTTGGATCTATTCAGGCTGAAAGCAGAACGCTATAGGAGCTGTGATACTTCTCTGAGTGACTTGAGCTATGTATTTCTTTATTTTAAACGTTTTGAGTTGGGTGGGTGTATTTGTATTTTAACCAAGTAGCTCAGATTTTCCTTGCATTGTAACACACTTTCTGTAGTTACTGCTTTCAAAATTAAAGCATTGTTTGGTTTTTTCCCTGAAGTTAACATTGGCACATATTTTTAATCATTAGCCACAGTCAGCAAAGTTTTTTGTCTAAGTGAGTGTTCATTTTTTGCTGGTGCTCGCTACTTTGAAGGCTGCCTGTTAAAGCACTGGTTTTGCATCGGTAGTTTCAGACTGCTGGTTTTTAAAGAAAAGAAGAGGTGAAATTAGTGGGGTTTGCGTACATTTCGACTACTTCATCTTGTCTGACACAGACTTGTAAATCCCAGAGACTTCCACCACACACGCTCCAATCAACAGACCAGAAGATGCACAACCAAGCCAGCGCATCTAGGAAGAAGAAGACCTACTATGTCTGCACTGCTCAGTGCATTTATACATGTACAGTCACTTAATCACACTTTACATGTGTTGGAACTACTCCACACATACTGTTCTTAATAGTAAGTGTAAAGAGAGATTCAGCTCCTTGCATACTCTGCTACAGCTTGGAAGACTTTCACATTTTATACTGCTGACTTGCAGACATACACACATGGTGATTTGATTCTGTTGTTAAATGCCTTCTTAAGCCTTTCAGCAGCTTATTTGGGATCCAGTTACTTCTTCTAATGAAAGGATAAAGGAATAACAAAAACATTAGCTGATCCTATGCACTCAACAACCAGTGTGGTACTTTTTATTGCTAGTGCTACATCCACTTGACTGGACACATTGCTTCACTGTCCCATGGGCTCTGGCTAGTCTGTCTCTCTGTGTCTAAAATGTTTTTCCAGTTGGTCATTTCTGACCTTTCCAAGTAATATATATCTGGGGTAATCTGCTCCTCCTTTTTCCTCTCAAGTTCAAAATCCTCATCATTTCCATTTACAGAAGCAGACACAAACTCATGACTCTACTCAGTATTTCCACAAAACTCAGTCCATTCATTATTTAGGTTAAGGCACCAGCTCTGCAATCTGTCTCCCCAGTGCAAAGCCCAGAGTCAAGGATGTCCTGATGCTCCCTGACATGAATTTGTATAAAGAACCTCTAGGAACTGAGCAAGAATCTTCTAGGGCAGATGGGCCTAAGAACCTCATGGTTTAACAGACTGAATTTTTTATTCTCTGATCCCTTTTTCCAGTGTGATCCATCTGATTTGAAAATGTCAGCATATAGCAAAATAATTACAATCAAGCCCAGCAAGACATACACTCTTCTGTTTTCTCTATTAACCATTTTAAAAACTTTTGTATAACTGTAGAAATTGTGTAATACGTAAACTGGATTTTGGTTAAAAATTGTACTTCAGTAACTGTTATGTTAAAAATGTGCATGGTCAGAAAAATTAATTACAGGGAGAGTACTCCCCCTTTGGAGAAATGGGTTTTTTACCTGCTAAGGTGAGCAAAAAAATGGCAGCAGTGACACCAACACCCACTGGCTTTCTTTTTTAATTCAGTATCTCACAGAAATGAAAAGACTTTCACAAATGGTTGTCTTCATTTTTGTTTTAGAATATATGGCCACAGTGCTAACATTACTGTCTCACCCCTGGCTTTGGACCAGGCCGTTATGAAAGCAAAACATTCAGATCTATGTGGCATATGCATGGCAAGTACCAGCAAGGAAAAGAAACAGGATGGTTTTCCGAAATGTGAACTTTTTGCCTTCTTTGTTGAACACGAATTCTTCCTGTTTTCAAGTCTCTCATCTTACTCTCCTGGTGCTTCTTTTTAACTCAAAGCATATATAAATCTCTGTCTACAGAATGAAAGCAGCTTGACAAGTTATATTATAATTGAAAGAAAAAAAAATGCTACAACACTCAGAATTCTGGTATCAGCTGAAATAGATATGGAGCTACAACAATTCCATCTTATTCACGCACATAACAGTTGAATTAACGTCAGTGGTATGTACAAAGATACTACTTACAGTAGTCAGTACATACTATAAATCTCTGTCTACAGAATGAAAGCAGCTTGACAAGTTATATTATAATTGAAAGAAAAAAAAATGCTACAACACTCAGAATTCTGGTATCAGCTGAAATAGATATGGAGCTACAACAATTCCATCTTATTCATGCACATAACAGTTGAATTAATGTCAGTGGTATGTACAAAGAGTAAGGAATACATACTACTGACTATGTTTGCCAACCACAACCAACAGCATCCTTATTGGTAGACTTATGAAAAGATTTAATTGTGTAACTATTGCTTCTTGAACTAGATTTATTAAAAGATTTTAAAATGGCACCTGTCGAAAAAATTCTTCCATCAGGGCCATGGTCCACCGGTAGTGCAGTTCCCAGGATTTTGCTGGATGGCTTATGTCTGCTGCATGTAGAATCAAAGACATGGCTTTGGCTTTGTCTACCCTGTCAATTCAAGGACATGCTCCAATTACCTCAAAACAAAAGCAACTATTTAAATAATTTTATTTTACGTGAGCTCATTCAAAGACTAATGAACAGAATGGAAAATAACCTACCCTTCTGTCTGCTGTAGAGTACGCCTCATCGTTTGAATTTGTTGAACATGACACGACATATCTGTAGACAAGACCATCTCAATGACCAAGCTACGCAACTCCCTAAGAATAATTAAAAGCAAAATTACTAATTACAATTCATTTATTCTATGTATGGTACATTTGTTTAAGCAGTACTTGTTAATTTATAACTTTGTAAACAACATCACGAGGTTTATTACGTTTTAAAAAGCATTTAAATAAATTATTAACAACTTCAACATTGTATCCTAAAGGGATTCTGTGTAAGCAATTTACTTCAGAAAATGCACTCTGCAATCATTGTTTCAGAGTCACCTGGTTTTGTAATTCCTCTTTTCTAGTGTATAAACTAAAATTACATGCAGTTCTGTCACCCATTCTAAGTCTTTCCTTATTTTTCCAGAAGTAGAGTATTCAAAAAAACAGTTGGTGTCTGGGCTTACCACCACAGTAGAGGATATATTTGTGTCTTTTATTACTGCCCTCATATTAGTGCAGAGCAAGCATAACTCTAACCCTAGGTAGAAGGCTGAGGAAACACTCAGAAGAGCAAGAGGTATTATATCTGAAACACTATCAACGTTATAGCAATATATGAACATTATGACAAACTACCCCCATCTCCAAAATACCTTAATGCCTATTTCATGAGTCAGAACAAGTTTGGGGTTTATAATTTATCTATATCTTGATATTATGGTCAGAGATGGTGGCTTGTTTATCAGTTTTCTATTAAATGAATATGAAAATAGTAAAACATGAAGCATGTAAGAAAGTATGAATTCTGATTGTATATGAAAGTACATTAATTTTGTCAACAATAATTACTGATTTGGAAAAATCTGTTTCCTTGAGGCAGAAGGACTGTATATAGACCATGTAGGAGTCTGCTGGTTCTTTATTTACACGCTTTTTAAATGTCCTTGGAGGGTTTGTGTGCAAATCTTGCTTATATGTACAGTGGAGACAACTCACCACATCAAATCTTTAATTACGTAGCATATATCTTAATGAGCACACCCCCCACCTTAAGGATGTCCAAGTATCAACTACAACAGTAGAATCTTAGTCATTCTCGCTGATAGTTCAGATTGTATTCATATCTTTGATTTAATTAACAATGCAGCTTTTTCAAAGGACTACGTTTTAAAGAGGTAAATTGCAGTTTTCTTTAGGGCTCTTAGAATAGATTGTTATACAAACTATCAAGACTGCTTTTGACCCAAATTAATTGCCTATTTAAGCTGATACTACTCATTGATTTTTATGTATTTATTCCTGATTTGTTTCGATGTAACTGGATAAAGACTCAATCCTTTCACTTCTCCTCAATAATATGCAGCCATAGCAATTTTTGTTTAGAAAATGCCTTACATTATCTGACCTCATAATAAGATACTAATTAATTTGCATCCTAACTGTTCCTCCTCCACATTGCTTTGAAACTGTACCCTTCAAACACAGCCAAACACAGAAGAAACCCCAAAACAACACACCAAAAAAATCCCCATCACAGCTAACACTGCACGAAAACTGAGGGCTCTGCATTGTTAAACTCTGTTGTTCGTACAACTGAAATAATTATCACTTCCCGTTTCTATGGGAGATTTTCCTAGGTACTTTCCATGGCTGAACTTTTAAGAGTAACGAGAAATAAGCTCAACCCTTCTACACATGACACACAGAGAAGCAAAATGCTGCTCTTACCTCCACCACCTGAGTAAGGATCAAACAATGAAGAACTTTCCTCCTCATACGCTTGTGAAGATTTCAGGCCACTAAAAAGCTGCTAACAGCAAAGGAGAGGCTCTCCACCTACAGTCTGCAGTTGTTTCTTGCCTGCACCCCCATCCATCATCAACAGAGGGATGGAAAATTGAGAACTGACAGGAAAATGTTAAATAAAGCTCTACTAGAGCTATGAATGCTCAGTCTGCTACCATTTGCATAGAAGATTACTCTTGGACTTAAACCATTTCCAAACTGTTTCCCAGGGAAAAAAGACCATCTCAACTTCCATGTTGAAGGAGACCTCAGCTGGTCTCATAGGTAACTCCTGGACAGAAATCTCTGCCCACTTCATTAAGCAGTCCACAGCTAGGGGCATCAGGATAATACAGTTAGCATTGCTCATGCTACCATGGCAAAAAGATTACACAGGTGTTGTCATCTTTAGTTCTGTGACAGGAAGTGGTAACAGTATTCACGTACAGTGCATAGCAGTTTTTTTGGGCCTACAATTGGAAGATTACTGGTTTTGAATATGCAACCTCCATTCTTCTTAAATAAACTGTCATGTGTTATGCTGTCATCCTTTCTTAACCCTCCTATATCCCTATGTCCTATGGATAGGACACCGTAAAAAAACAGATGCAAGATGATGTGAAAAAATTACACAAATAACGCTGTAATAAATAAGAGACAAGGAGTGGCACATGGATTTCTTGGAAAGTAGTTAACCAATAAACAGAAACCAGCTTTACCTGGATTTGTCCATGACAAAGACACTTTGTCAGCTGGAAACTAAAGAAAAAATGCAGGAACAGGCTAAGATGAGCAAAAGCAAGCTGGGAACTGAAAACTGAAGGTTCATCTTGCAAATTATAGCAATCCTCCTTTCCTCAGACAGAAGACTCCCAAGGGAATTTGTGAAAAAAAGGTTGTTAATTATGCATTGTATATAATGCATATTGTTTTGTCATTCTTTTTTATATAATCAGGGAACACATTATCGTAAGCCTTGTGACTGGAATGGTTTGAGACATTAATACTGCCTGACTACCTACAAGTGTTGATGCAACACATGGGGTGCTGGAACTCTAGAAGCCTGGTGAATCAAAGGAGAAAGGAGGACAAAAAGGGATCACTCTTTAGTCATTTAGGGGCACCAAGTGAGAGAAACAAGACAATACGAAAGACTGGAATATATTTTCAGAGTTGAGAAAAGAGTGAGAAATGACTATGAATGTCACATGTGTTATCCACAAAGGACATCCTCATCAGAATGCTGGCAGTGTTTCCCTGCTTAGCCCCAAACCCCGTGTTTTAAATTTAATTGAAGCTGACAGTTTATTAGTGCATTTATCTTAACATTAACATGTAGAAAAGAAAATGTAATATGATAAAGTCATTCTCAGTCATTTTGCTTCATCTTGCTGAAAAAATTAGCAGAACCACAGTTTAAATAGGCAGCAGTGTTAAATTTTTTTTAAAAAGAAATCACTGCAACTCAAGAAAACAGATCTGACAGTAGTCAAGAAATTAATCAGTGCCAGGAAGTACATTAAAACATTGAACAAATTATCATTTCAATTTACTGCCAATTTGATTCAGTGCAAACTTCAAAACTGCTGGTCTAACAGCATGAATTTCAGTATAGATCCAAGATGTTCACTCTAGTAATAATTGGAAAATTGAAGAGCTTCTTTTAAGTGGCTAGCAGATCTGTCATTGCACCAATGAATAACTGTACCTGAAAACAGGGAAATGGGAATTTTTTTTTATATTAGAAACAAATACCAGGAAACCATAATTTCCATGACTGACCCTCTAAATTAAAGTATCAGACTTCAATGGGTTGTGCAGGTTCTGAGACTGGCACTTTGGAATTTACTTATTTGTTTGAAAGTACAGACTGTAATTGCCTAGCTAAGTGACAAACCATGGAACTGAGTGTCCCAGTTTAGTTGTTTGAGCTTAGTCAGTTCATACATCTCTTCTAAATTGTACTGAATAGTCCCAACATGAGACCATAAATTCTACTTTCTCTGGTTGCCAAATCCTACCAACTTCAAAAAGGCTGCATGTAATAGTGGACTGGATCTGTGCAGCCACTCTAGACAAACAAAATTTGCAAAACTAAAATAAGATCCTCCAGGAAATCCTAATTGGGTTGCAGTGAGAGGAGACTGAAAAGCAAGTGCAAACACACCTACTGTGTGTTGATCAACTTCCAAAGGAATGTGGTATTTTATCACAAGTTCAAAAACCATGGAGAAATGAAATGTAATAGAAGTTAGAGTAAAGGGTCCATAACTGGACTGGAGAAAGAACTGTGGGAAGACCAGACTGAGCAATCTGTACAGAGAAGTGTGCTTCAGAAATGTGAAGAGAGTCTATCACATTCCTCCCTTTATTCTGTCGCAGTCAGCCAGAGCAATATGTATAAACATCACACACCTGGAAACTATAGGCTCCTCTTTCCACTAGGAAATATTTTCTTTCACAGGCGTTTCCGTCCTATCGCTCTTTTCCCCAGTGACATAACAAAATGTCTGGGATGCACTGTACTAGCTGGCAGACAGATTTCTGTCAGCTGGAGAAACTGCATGTTGCTGCAGGAATTCCAAACTTCACTCATTTATGGTAGCCTCCAGTGATGAGGGAGCCAGGACTGGGGAAGCACATAAATGTCTTTAAGATTTCCTTGATCCAGTCCTGAACTGAAATTCAACTGAATAAGATCTGTCCCTTTCTACCTGGAAGCATTCTCTGTCAGGACACAACATGAAACAACACTTCAAAAAAACATACTAAAGGCAACAAGTCTGAAGACTTGAAAATCATTACATCTCTACAATGATGGTTTTAAAAGACACAATACCAGCCTCTGATGGCTGTCTACTGGCACAATCACTTTCTCCATACTCAACAGCTAGGACAAGCAAAAATAGGGTCACAGTGGCCTACCAATCAGCCCCAAAACTATCAGGCCCAAAATAGTTCCAAGCAGAGAAAGGCTGACTCATGTTTGCAATGAAAATCTATGTGCATATGACAATTATTGCTGAAGTTTACAATTTACTTCCAGAAAGCTTTCTCCAGAACTAAATTTACAGCACAAACTTTGAAATAACTAAATCCAAATAATTATCTTCTGAGAATAAATCTTTTATGAGAATGAAAAAGTGCATGCTTCCTCTCTCACTTTATATTAAATAAAAATTAAAAATACTTCCATATTAAGTGTTTTGGAGTAGCTACAAAATAATGAACTGAAAACCAAAAGGGTCAGCAGACTTAGATTCAACAAACACTTTATATAGGGGTGTTCTGATCATGTAGGTAAGTAAAATCATGTAAATCTACAATGTAAAACAGTCCTTCATCTGTAAATATAGATCACACCAAAATTTGATAACATTCACATATTCCTTCATAAATGTATAGTTTTGTGAAAATAAAAATAAAGCAGACTATAGCTTTGTTATTCACGGTGGCACCATTCGCAGTGGGAGACTTTCCTGGGACCAGAACATCTCTCTCTGATTTCACAGTCCAACTATTTAAAAGCTATTTTTAGGATCTCTGAACAATAGCTATGTTTACAGAAACACACAGAAGACTCACATTTTAAGTGCTATATGTATCAATCAAAAATATACAAAGACAACATGTCCTTTTTAATAATGGAGAAAGTCTTATCTTTAACACTTATTCATTTTGGTCTTATAGGTCTTAGTATTTGTGACATATCAATTATGAACCTGATTCTTTCAGCTGGTCAAATTTTCTTCAGGAATTATACTAAAATACGAAGAAGAAGAAAAAAAATTAAAACCCCCAGAGATTCCTGTAGGGCTTCTGGGCCTTTATTATTTTTGGACTCTCCAGATAATTCATTTTTTAATGCTCAATCAAGATGTTACTATGCTGTTCTATGCTACACAGCAGAAATCCCAGGGGCAGTAGTGCTCAAGCTGGCAGCAGAGAGTGACTCTGCACTGAAGTTTTAACCCACTGGTAGACAAAGGTAACCTAGCTCAAGAGGGGTACCACTGGGGTTTTCCTGAAGAGCTATCTCACCTGAGACACTGCCCACACAGTCCAACACTGTGCCTCATAAATGCACAACCTCACTTGGAAAACTATATGGAGTCTCCCAAACAGCAGTTCTCTACACCACAGCCGCCTTCCCTAAGCTCTAAATATCCATTACTCCTTCCAGCGCCAAAGTTTCTTTCTGTAATTTGAACTCTTAAAATAGACTCCACAGGGAAGGCTTGGTGGATTTTATTATCTTTAAATACTGGAATTAAGTTTGAATGTCACGATAGGCCTTACCTCCAGTCATCTTTGGTTAAATTTGCCAGGATGTTCATCTCTTCTTCTTGCATGAGTCTATAAGCAGCACTTACGTGATGATTTTCAAGAACAGAACGATCATTGTAAAATATTGCAAGATCTGACCTAGTGTTTAAAAAAAAAGGGCAGAATTAATAATAACATCCTGATGATGGCACTGGGGAAGGTAGGACTGTGTATTCTCTATGAGAATTATTGACTGTATATATCAAACTATGTTTATTTGTTCCTATTGTATCATATACTGATAAAGTTTCCATCCCAAGTACACAAAAAAATTGTCATTATACCACTGTATATACTGGTTGTGGAAAAATCATATCCTTAAATATTTATATGATGTAACTGTGACAAAAATTTGTGAGATCTTTGAGGCTCTTGACTGTAGATATGATCGTAGAGCAACAGGAATGCTCTAATTAGGCTACTCAAGAGTACTCTTTGGCAATACAACAATTTAAAATGCAATGCATTCACTGACAGAGGAGGCTACGCACATTAGCATGGGTATTAAGAAGTTACTATGCCTGTTCTGACAGAGATATGCTTTGGCCCATGTCAGTCATAATCAGAAGGAGGTTTAAATAATAAAATATTAAAAAACTTCCATTTCATATGTTTTTAAAAGCTGCTATCTCTTATCAGAAAAACAATCAAACCTTGAGCCTCATAGCAATGGAATGGAAGAGATGCTAAGCTGAAATTTGATTGCATTCAGGTGCTTCCTAAAGCCAGACTCTTACGATAACATTAGCACCCTCAACAGTATCCTTTCCCTCTTAACTAAAGACTAACCTACAATACCAAAATTACATATAGATTTTCACAAGTTTCGATCCAGTATGGATTTATTATACTTAGCTTCAAACATTAATTCCTGGGGAATTTGTTTCCCCAAGATCTGATCTGACTGGCTAAGCAACTTCAGGTCTCCCCTCTCTGTTACACCTCTTCTGATAAAACTATTCCTGAGTATTTAAATTTGGTCAACTGAAAAATCGGTACAAGAAGAAAGGTGTGATGATTTATCAGCATAGATTACTATGACATTAATAAGTTAAATAAGTTAAATTCAACTTGTTCTGTTGAGCAAAAGTATATATTCAGTGTAACCACCCACATGTATGGTGTGGTACCAAGGAATCTGAAAAACTAAAAAAGGATTGGAAACTTTATTTAGAGGGAACAAACCATAACCTACCTAAATAATGAATATATTTACATCCATAATACTACTAAAATCATAGGAAAATCTGTGATTTGCTAATCACATATGTTTATGAAGAATCTTTAATCCACATAGCTATGTATGGCAAGTTTAAACAGTGCTAAGATTTGCTATGACTATGACATCCATTTCATCAGCTTTTCTCAGGCAAAAGAAGCCTGGAATCACAGCCCTGGGATGCCACATCAGGGCCAAGTTCCACTAGCAGGGAAGATTGAGCTCCATCATAAAACAAATACCTGCTTGCAAGTATGCCCAAGTAAAATTCAAAGGCTACCAGCTTAATTAATTTTCCATTTTTGCAACACTTCTGAGCAAAATATTAAGGACAAAAATAGAAAAGTAATATAAACTTGGAACTACAAATTGAAGTTTATTTTTAGTCAGACTATGCTGAGGGAGAAAAGAACTATGTTTTTATTTCAGCTGCAGATTTAGAATTTGTTCATTATTGAAGGGCACATTGCAGGGCACAAGTATGTTACGGATCTAATTTAAATGTAATAATTGGATACTTTATCTGTATAGGTGAATGCGAGGATACTTCTGTTTGAAGTAATAGTATTTCTAGAACAGAGCTGTTTTGGTAGAATATGCCAGTGCTTTGCTGAAATTTTTTTTCAAGGGCAGGTAAAGCGGACTCCTCAACCGAGGATACTAAAACAAAGTATAGCCTAGCGTGAGAAAAAAATAAGATGTTTTGTTTAAGTTAAGTATCAGGTGTACCATTTATCACCCAGTAATGGATTGATCACTGATTTTTCTTTGATAAGCTGAAAATACTTTAAGGGAGAGAGGTATATGCTGTTGTTCATGACCAGAGGCTAGGATGACATGCTGCACCTGCATGAGAATACAGTTAGCCTGACTTTCAAACTGGATTTTTTTCTAGATTTCTTTTTTGTAACTGCTGCAGATGCTGTCAAAACGTGCTAGGAGAGGACTCATGGTAGGTATTTCTAAAGCTGTTCTTGAAGGTTTCTCCCTCTGTACTAGGACCCTGCAAGTTTAATACACAACTTGGAACAAAATGTAGCACCTGGCGTATGTGCAGACACATTGCTGAAAGTGAAGTGGTATTTTTCTAGGGACACTGTGGAAGAAATTTTTTAGTCAAAAGTATCAAAATTTAGATGAGCAAATAGAGGGGTGAGGGGTTTTCAAGTCCATGTTCTGAATCTTTTTGAAATCTCCCTTGACATAATGATTTCAAACACTATGGAGCTAACTCCTTACTTTTCCACACTGTCCTTGTTCATTTGAGCAGTCCCATTAACTGGACAGAGGTCGAGGAAGTGATTTGTAAAATCAGGAATTGCTTGGCAGCTTCCTGGCTGTATCAGTAAGAGATATGAAACAGTTCAGACCAATGAACAGTAAACTCCAGATATGACACTTAAGAGATCACTTCACTTACCTTGTCTGAATATGAAAATTGTTTGTGGTCCCAGTATGTTCATAATCATGGACAGCAGCTGCAAAGATCATTGCTAAAATTTCCAGTTCTGTGAGCCAGTGCTGGTAAACAAAAAAAAAAAAAATCTTAGTCATATTTTCTATAATAGCCTCATTCAGATTAAACACTACAGTACTGGAAATGTTTTGCATTACCTTCAATGTAAGTAAACTTTATTCTTATTCCAGGTAACTATATATCCATAACACTTCAGTATCATACAGTAAAATAACTCTTTGCACTTATGATGATTTCTCTAACACCAAGTTAACATCCTTACAGTCAGTAGCAAAGTAAATATTGGTAGACAAATACATAAGAAGTTATTAGTACAATCACATTGTATACTTTGTAGCTGGTTTGTGTAGGAAGTATCTAAACTGCTACCCCATACACGGCACTTGCCAAATTATGGTATATTAATCTCAAAACTTCATATGAAGTTAAGGTTATAATTTGTCTTTTAGTGAACAATATATACAATTCATAATAAATTCTAGGTACAACATCAGCATTAACTATATTTTACTAGTGTACACAGCACTAAAATTACCCCCATGGGAGATTTTTCTGTTCTAAATTTTATCATACTTCGTACTAATGTAAAAAAGAGTGCATAAGGCTAGTATACAGTTACACAGAACAAAAGGTAGTACAGGTCATGTATACAAAATAGTGCAGACCCTAGAGTTTTGTGTACTTTTATACCTCTTGCGAAATGAGGCTGTTCTGAATTGCTCGATTTGTAAAATAACCTCTGTTATTTTATCTTTCAAGTTCTATTTCTTGAATGATAAATCATTTTGAGGAGAAAATCTACTCCACCTAAAAATGGGGGCAGGAAAATCATACGACAATTAACCCCCACAGTCATAGGACTGATTAAGTCAAATGCCAGTCAAGCACTTCCACACATATTTCAGATTTTTTTAGCGTAAAAGCTTCTGTACTTAAGGATCGAAGAATGATCTCATCCTTATGCACCCATATATGCACATACATGTGTACGAATGGATATAAGATGTACAGGCTGCCAGAAGTAGTATAAGCTGACAATAGTAGTATTTCTTTCAAAGAAGAAGAAAGAAAACAGTCAAGATTAATAAGTAATGCGAGAATAATGAAATAGGTCATCCAGCAACAAAATAAGACTGCTGAGGAACAACAAGTACTGGCTGTTGGTGAAGCAATATAGATTAAAAAAGGTCACAACAGAGGAATGAGAATGTACTGTAAGCAGTTCCAAAAATGGAAACGATGACCTTCACTGTATTGTGTGTCACAAGAAACCCGGCCATGACCAGTCGTGGCTTTCACCATGTTTTCAACATACCAAATGGAACAGAAACCCAGAAATTATTAGTAACTGAAGCTAAACATAAACTTTTCCTTTAAGATGCCTTTTCAAAGATCAGCTTTTTTAGTAACCAAAATAGTTGCTAGACAACGCATTTATAAGTAGAATAGCATTCCTTACAAACAATATCTACGGGCTACACAGAAACTTCATACAGTACTATATGAGAGCAAGTATTCTAGAGACTGTAGTCGTACAGTCAAAAATTCCGGTCAGTATTCAAATCAGAGAATCAGAGAACTACTTTAGCTAAAGGACTTCTGAGGAAGTAAGAGAAAGCTCTTAGAGAGACAGTTAACAAGTGTTTTTCTCAAACTGAGAGGGAAAAGCAGGTATCTGGAGGTCTGCAGGATCTCTTCTATTGGGAGATGTTTTCCAGTATCATAATTTGCTTATAAGTAAATAGATACATTTCAACTTTTCATGAGCTCTGGTTCAAACTATTTTTTTAAACAATGATGGATTTAAAAATTAGTAAGAATGGGAGTCTCACAATGCACTTACTGACAGTAAAGACATTTTTTCCTTTAGTTTGAGCAATACAGCTACGTGGGAGGAGAAAAGGGATGGTAGGAAGATGATCGATGACTCAAAAGTTCTTTACAAGATGTATTCCCTGGGACCTGGATTCTTAAATTTTTATAAAGATGAAGACTTCATAAATGCAAGCTTGAGCTGTATATTTCAGTCGTATCATCTGGGATTTAATCTCTTGGGAAGGTTAATAGATTGTGTGCCATCTGTGATATCTAACTTTCTAACACACTGATCTGAGGTGGCTGGATCTTGTTTCTTAAGATAGACAGTAACTTTTGGAAAACACAGTGATCATTTTATTTCCTTAACTGCGACTCTGAATATGTGTTATTCTTCACTTGAATCTCTCTAAAGGTTTGTTGAGAAGCATAAACTGACCAGCCAAATTTTTTGGCAAATGCTGAAATATGGCTGTTTTCCAGATGCTTATGAAAGATACAGAGTGTATGACCTCAACAACAGAAATAATGAAAAGGATTTTCTAAAACCCAGCTTTTTGAAATATTTGCTTCAGTGTGTCTTTCAGAAGTGAACAAGGAAGACAGCAACTCTTTGGAAGATTTGGGAATCAGCATCAGTTCCTTAAGATACAATGAAAGCACAAGAACTTCAAATTGCATGCCAATATACAAAAACCACACAGAAATTTGATACAGAATTGCATCAACTTTATTCCTGTTCAGGTATTTGTTAGAAGATACAGCAGAGTTAAAATAGGCATTACAATAGACGTACTCTGAAAACTATCACCTTGAGAAGCCAACCTCAAATTGAGATTTAGGGTTCTGTAGAGTTTATGAGGCAAGAGGAAAAAAACCCCACAAGTTAAACAGAACATATGCATGATACTGATGTGTTCTCAAACTGCAAATGACATTTGGGACAGAAATACTTTGCAAGCTGCAGAATCACTAGGCCCTCTTTCAAACACTGATTTCTATAAATGTTCCTTCTGCCTGGCAAGATACATCTGTTTGAAAGCACTCTTGACTAAGTGTTGTCCTAGTTAGATATCTTTCCAAGAACTTTCCGATATCATAATTTGGCAATTCAAATGTGAATATTTAAAACCTGGCCTAATTTTATCAGAATATTTTGCAGCAGCATTGCAACATTAATGAGGTTTTATGGCAAAGTAACAGCAATAAAGTCCAAGCTTTTCTGAAAATAGTTGTCCGAATCACATCAAACTGCAGTAATGAAGTTAAGATGCTAATATTGTAAAACTCAAGTTGGAGAAGCCTTTCTTATTCTCGTGTGCACCCAACAGAATAGCAGATATTTAAATACAAAACAGGTTCCTTCATTCAGTGTTCAGAGATACACAAAGTGTGTTGCAAAGCTGTTTCATCAATGGCTAAACATCCCCAATTGGCTAGGCTATCTCTGGAACTTGGAACCTTGTCCTAGCATCATGAAGAAAATCTGGATGCTATGGTCTTTTTTTGAAGGGCAGAGGGGCACAGTTACAATGGGCCAAAGGGATGTTTATAACATATAATACAACAAAGGGCTTTTCCTCTCTGTTAAGTTGCTGATCCAGCTGTATACCTGCAACAAAGACGTGTCCCACATCAGTTAATTCTTGCAGTTGATCTTACAGTAGAAGACAAGGGTAGGATAGGAACAATGATCTAATCTCTTCAAGCTTTTCCTCTTATTAAAATATTATTTTGATAGGTGAACATTGTATACAACAACTTTGGTTTGGAGTCACCTTGGCAAGAGCTGTCCAGCCTATGCTGCAGCCTAATATGCAACATCTCAATGTGGAAAGGAATCTTGGCTGGTGAAGACTCCAGGCTTCACTCTGCAAGTGGTACTTGTCTTAAAATGTAGCTTTAAAAACTTGACACCTAGAAGCAAAACACTCCCTTCAAACAGTAGAATCAAACCCTGCAATGCCTAGGGACTTGTTCTTGCCCCCACTGAAGCCAAAGACAAAGCTTTCAGTAAGAAAAGGCTTAACATAAGTGAATGACTGTAATTTATTGTGTATATAGTGGAGCACAAACACCTAGAGTCAGCCCTAAATTTTTCCTTTCAATAAGTCTTATGGAATTGTTTAATGGCTCTCCAAAAAGAAATTAGACGCTATCACTTCCCACCTTTTTTTTTTTTTTTTTTTTAAACAAGTGCATTCAACAAATCATCAAAATGCCATTGACAAGAGATGTTAGTTTTATTTCAGTAAGTATTTACTTTTGTCTAGCAAGCTGAAAGTGAGGAGACTCCCACTGCTGGCATTAAATCTAAGATACATGTTTAGAGAAAAAATACTTGCACAGGCTTACTTCAGTTTCAAAAGCAAATACTAAAAAATATTGGGATATTGCAATAGTGCAACGCAAATGCAATCTCCTGCCTACTATACGCACATAGAGTATGCAAGAGCAGTCCTAAATAAGGTTACAGACTAAAAGAAAAAGCAGCTGCAGAGTACTTGAGTAAGCCTACACTGATTCAGTATATCCTCCAACAGCCAGGACCTCAGTAGATACTAAAGCTTCCTTATCTGATCACACCTCCCAGGCTCTGATGTGGAAGAGAAAAATTCTCACCTGCCCACTCCTGCAAACATATCTCTTTTAGTGTGATATATAACACCCAAGCCCAGGCAATGAGAAGCAAAAAGGATTTAAGGAGAATATTCTTTTTTTCCTCCGCAAGAGGAGAGTTCCAGCATGGAAGAACTGTTAAAATGACATAAAGTTCACAGCCTGAATGGTAGTTTGGAATCTAAGCCTGCACAATTGTCAAGGGAGCTTTTTCCTTACAAAAAGACACACGTACACATTTGTCCAAAACAGCAGAGTCTGAGAAAAGAAGTAAATTGAACTTTGCAGTATTTCTTACCATGATACCAGTGTGAATCATTATGTAATGCACAGTTTGAGTAACATCAGCTGCATGGATCAGATTGTGATATGGATTTTTGTATTTGCTGTAACCAACTTCAAGAGCCTCAGCAAATGAAATAAGATTGGGAACAGGAATCTAGGGGGAAGCAAAAATTAAAATAAACATTTTTTCCTGCAACAGCTAGGAAGTTAATCATGCAATAAATAAACCACAAATAAATATACCATAGAATCCAGTTAACAAACAAAAAAAGAAAAATCTAAAATGTAAAGGTCTGATATCTCACATGCATCAGGGAGTCTTCACCTGATTCCTGTAGATGTTACATCCTTCTACATACATCATGCACAGCATGTGGCTAGTGTACACAAGACTGCAGAGCTATCAATCAAATAGTTTTCAAGACATGTTTATCTGTCTGTCTGTACCAGGAATGCATAGATTGCTCATACAATAAACATATGACAGATAGGAGGCTAACAATAGGATTATCTCCTTTTCTTCACCAGTTTTACCTTGCCTGAGACAAGATTTCCTTGAATCTGATAGTATGACTTCCCTTCCTTCTCTTCCTCCAGGCTATGTATGAAGTACAAGTACTATCTAGTCCCATTTATTTTCCCACATAATGAAATGACACTTTCCTTCATTGTTTTTTTAATTTAAAAGCCCTGCAAAGTAAACGGTGGGATTGAGAATGGATTTAAGCCCACTGAGACAGTAACATCGTATACTTTCTGACTGCCTTGTTAATGGTAGCCCAGGTGTCGTTCTGACTTCAAGCACCCAGAGCCTGAAGATAAAAGCTTGATCGGAAAAGCTGAGTCTGGGTTACCAGTAATAATTAAAATTTTCAAACCAACTTCATGGTGAGGCAGTCTCTTTGAAAGGAACATGGAGTTTTGCAGTGGAGAGATTTTGAAACTACAATGAAACTTTCATTCAGTACTATTACAATGATAAATTTGGCATTTTGATCCATTTTTTATGTCAGCCTTTCAAAGTTGGTTAGTAATATTGGTTGGTAATACTCTATATTGTATTGCAATATCCTGCAAAGACCATGGAAAAGCATCCTTCTCTATATATTCCCCCCAAGCTGGTTAGGAGAGGAAGGTTCATCTGACACCCCTGCACAGTGGTAGGCAACATACTACGTTCTAGACCATGAAAAAAGTACTTAGGACTAACTACAGTTTTCTGCCTTATTAGGAATCTTTGTTCCATGAAGCTGGGACACTGATTCAGTACTGCTGAGTAAATAGGCTGTATACATAATCTGTTTATTTAATGCTTACAGCATTTAGCTGCTCACTAGCAACATCCCATCCCAAACTGACTTGACACGGGTCTACATAGCTTTCAATTTTTTGTGTTCCAGAAGAATTTGCATACTCTGTGTGAAGTTCCATTTGATAGAACTATTGGCATATTACAATGTTTGATTTGCCGTATTTTTTGAAATTCTGTACCACATTGTACAATAAAAAAATATTTCAAACATATCCTGGCTTTCTTGTATTTTGACATACTTATTTTTGCATAAATATTTTTATTTGTGGCTAGTTTCTGACCTTGAAACGGCTCAAAAGGTCATATCGGGTGAACAGCTCATACATCATAAATTTCAGGCTGTGCTCTCCACTTGCTTCATTTAGGGCAAATACGTCAAAAGACCATTTATCAACATCCTGTAGAGGAGGGGAAAAGAAAAAGAAAACATTAAATTTCCATCTGTTTAAGTTGGTTTCCCAACTCAATCACCAGAAAAGGTATTTCGGGGTTTTTTGGAGGGAAGGGGTAGAGTTTGGTGGATTTTTTTGTCTAACTCTTTCAAACTCCTATTGTAAATAACACATTAACGACTAATCCAATACTAATGAAAATAGTTGTGCCAGTTATGAATAAAATACTTGTAACATGACCTATGCAACTTTGTATGCTTCAAATCAAAGACCTTAATCTTTTAAATTTAACTTTCTGCATACAAATTGCCTACAGAACCTCGTAGAGCTAATGTGAACACCCCTCCTTTAAATAGACTATTATGCAATATCATTAACATTATAGCCATAGAGCAATTTGAGAATAATATAACAGAGTCTGACTTCCAGAGGAAAAGATGAGGTACTACATTCTCAAGAAATATAATTTTTTTAATTGCATACACAGCCATAGGAACTTTACTACCATAAAAGATTGCCTTTTGGGTGAACTACAGTAATGCCTTAAATTCACAGCAAATACTGTACTTATTCCATAAACTGCAGCTTCTTTTGTTAGTTCTATCCCAATAGTACTTCTCCTTTTTCTTTCCTAAAAAGGAAACAAATGCTGCTGAGACACGGACTACCATACCACTGGGAGCTGATATAACCATGTCTCACATTTCTATTAAAAATTCTCTACAAATTTCATCCTATTGCCCTAATAACATCTAAATGAAATCAAAACTAATCAGTGAAAAAATAAACAGAATCATATGCTCTTTGTGCATTTTTAACTATTAATTTTTATGTTCAGTGTGCTCAAGTCTGTAGTACTAACTATGGGCAAAGTATATTCAGTAGAAAAATATATTCATCTCACCCTAAAAGTCAACAGAAATAAGTAACAATACATTCAAATTCCACAATGATTAAACTTGTTTCACCTTAAATGTTTCTAACACTCCTGCTGGGTAAGCCAAACCAACCATGCTGGAAGTTCTTCGGTACATCCTAAAAGAAAAAAAAAAAATCAAGGATTAGCACTCCTTTAAAAAGTACTGGAACAATTTCTCTTCTTAAAATTCATCTTTCACAGTTCATGAAACTATATTCAGCTAATTAAGGGTCTGAATCCAAAGGTGACAAATCTTTTTATGAATTTATGAGAAAAGCCCCTCTGCTGGTATCTTCGTGCAGTCTTTGGTACATTTTAGTATAGAAGTTTCAAAGCCATAAAGTTCATTCCCAGAATTTTCCAAAGTCCAGGAGACTTCATTACAAATTTAGAGGTTTCATCTGGATTTCTGTATAGAAAAACAGAGCAATTGCAGAAATTGAAACCTAAATTTTGCCTTGAAGATTTGCTTCAGGTTCATCCCACCACTTCAGGGATCTTCAACGATTAACACCGGTTAAACACAGTACTTGCTGTAATAAGAAAATGAAGTTCTCACCTTTCTACAAAAATCCCAGCCTGTACAGCGTGCACAATGCTTCGGAATTTGGGCTTTTCTTCAGGTCTTCTCTTCACTATTCCCATTTTCCTTGTGAATGTAGAAGCTAACCAGTCCCGCACTTCCAGCGGGACCGAATCCGACTGGATGTCAGAGAGCTCATCCTCAGTGTCCAAAAGCTTCCTACAAAAAGTTAATACAAGGTAACTGAGAAGATGGCAGACTGAAGCAAAAGAAATACCGACAGCTAATAAAACTTAATTTAACAGAAGCAGAGGTTGTCTGTAGAACTGACTCAGCCCATCACTAAATGTCTTCTCTGGTAAACATACTGAGGCCACTGGGAAGCTGGGCGCAGCAGATATTTTCCCTCTCTCCCACTGCTCACATTCCAGAAGGTAAAAGATACTGAAATGCAAGATATTCAGGTAAAGGCAAGAGAAGATTTTTCTACAAAGATGTCACAGCTATAGTGGATTGAAGTGTAATCAGTAAGTTATGAAATCCTGAGTAGGAGCATCTATAGGAAGAGATGTTGCTGCTATAACTGAGAACACCTGATCTGTCCTCCAAAATGGTAGAAAAAATGTTTTGATACTTACATGCAAAGTAAATGTTACTACACAGCAATGCTATGGTGAATGTATTTCAATGAACACCCTGTATACATGCTCATCATGTTATCCTAGTGCAATAAAAGTACTAAAGAGAATTAACTCCTTCTGTGTGGAGATATATTCCTATTGAAGCAAGGTAACAAAATCATCGCAGTAAAGATATTATACAAGATTGGATTGCAAGTCAGCTTTCACGGCTCTTAGTTGTTCAAAAAGTTAGAAAAGACATGTATACCTCTTGCAAAATAGAAAAAGTATTAAAAAGAAACTTCAGTTCAACAAAACTGAATTGGAAGTAATCAGTTTATCTAGAAGAAACATGTAACTAAATATTCTCTTAAAACAGACTCAACACTTCAGTTCTACACTTCTATAAACCTCCCAGACGTAGGAACACAACTTTTTTCTTGCTGTTGTTTGCTGATATCGCTCAGTCTGCTGGGGTTTTCCAAGAACCAAATCCCTTATTCAGTCAGATAACAAGTTTTTCTTCATGCAATTATGCAAGAAACTCCAAAGACAGGATGACACAAACATATGTAAAGCATGCCACCCTTTTAAAATGTTTTATTAAAAGTGGCATGAATTGAATTGCAGGCATTATTTGATTACATAGGTCTATTTCTCCAGTGCTGTCTTTCTGAAACTGCTTGAGTTTGCATGAATTGGACACAAAGCAATGATGAACAAAGTATTTTTTGAAGGTGATTTTCTTATCAGACCACCCACTTGTCAAGTTAAAACATGGGTCTCTTCTTCTGACTGAACAGGATTCCTCTGAAATATATTCGGTGGAAATTTAGTATTTCAGATTTGCAGATGGGTATTTGGGATAGGAAAATTATCACTATCTTTTCCATCTTTATGTTCTCACCTCTGCTGCTTTCTTTTCTTTCTACTCTTAGCATAACTCTGTTGAGTCTTTCTCCTATTTGTGCACTCTCTCCTCCTATTAATTCAGTGGCTCTTTCACACCTTTCACTTTCTCTTTTTCTCTTCCTCAGCTTTTTCAAAATCTTGCCTAATCCAGGTCTTCTCTGGCATATAGAATTGAAAAGCTACATGGATGATGAAGAAAAGGCCTAATATAGTACAGTTTAAAGGAATCCTCACATTAATATTATCTGAGGGATTATAGGAAGATGCCTAGTAGGAAGCATGATGCCAGAAGTGGCATATAAATTATTGGTGAAGAGTGAGAGCAGTATATCTGTGCTCATCTGCCCTGTTCTCAATGTGGCCCCCAACACCCTCACTGTTTACTGAAGGAACAGCAGAAACATTCCTATTTTTTAGGGACATAGAATTATCAGACTAGGAAGGCTCTTTAACACAGAGTGCAAGAGAGGCAGAATGGACAAGAATTATGATATTTTCTGAGAGTGGGACACAGGTCAAAAGTCAATAATTTCTTCTGGTGGAGCAGGACTTGTGTAGAAGAAAGGATTTGGGCAAATTACTTTGCAAAACTGAACCAAGGCTGAGACAGGACATAGGTGAAAGGCTATAAATTGATTTTATTCCCTAAAATAAAAACTATGTTGTAGTCCACTTAAATCCCTACTAGTCTAACATTGTTATTAAATATCCCTGGAGAGATCAGTACATTTCTATTTCTGAGGAATATTTGACATTTGACGTATTTGTAACATAATCAGGAAAACACCCAATAATCCCTAAAACATATTTTTGTAACTATTCCAACTGTTACTTGAATGAGATTAAATTATTCCAGTGATAAAAGGACCATGGGCATCAGGTTGCCTCAGGGCACGCAGCAGGGATGTTCCACATCGCTGGTGCATCACGAAGCAAAGCTCTACATCAGTTTGCTACAGTGTGATGCAGGTCTGAATTTGGGACCAAGTCCTGAGCTCTGCAGATGTGAGCCACTGGAGTACAAATTAAGGCTAGCAAGACACACTGCTGTTTCTCTAATCTTTTAAACCATTCATCTGTAAAATAGGAGGAATATTCAGGCTGTAAATTATAGTAATAGGAGTTACTTTATGAAGACAGAAATGAGAAACAGAATTTGAAAAAAGTGTTTATTTAATGAGTAAATTTCACAAGACCACTGCTCTCTGATGAGAGGTGACCGAACAATGTGCTATGGGAGAGAAAGAGTTTCGACATCTCTGGTTCCTACTTCAATAACTACGAAAGCAACTGCAACACAGAATTACACTGTAAGCACAAGCTCTTACAGATCCCTCAACACATAACCTTAGTAACTTCTCAGAAATAATTATTTTCTTTCAGAAGCCTAACTGAAACATTTAAGGAGAGGAAATAAGAGCTAGTTATTTGTCTTGTAACTGTCCATTTTTTACACTTTCCTGACCTTTTGAAGAATAAGATTCATATTGGGGAAAATTACCTATGGCATATGCATTGCTAGAAATGGCCTTTGAATAAATTCACTAATGACTGCTATTCTTCTGTAATTATAGGGACAGGGTTTATATATGGGTCTACACATCTGAATAAATGGATGGTTAGATGGATTTATAATGTGATGGTAAATTTATTTAGGAAGAAAAATAAATTAGGATATATATTGTGCCATACAAACTATGCTTAATTATCACAAATTCTTAGAATCCAGTATTTGACTCATTTCATAGTTTGCAGCTTCTGTCAACTTGTATTCATCTATTTATGCCTTGATTATAGAATACAGTATTTCCATGTGTGTGCATATGTATGTATACATATACAATACTGTGGGTTCTGTGAAATAGAGCTAGTTGTTCACCGTTTACTTGCTGATTGTGAAAACACTTCGTTAAAATAACCTAAATAAAGTAATTTTCTATGTTGAGACATAAAAACATCAAATTGTTTTTATCAGTAATTTTACTTACGATTTACAAAATGCATGCATATATATATAAAAATTGTGCTAAATGTAACAAAAATCAACTTCAGCAAAAGTATCAGAGCCTGTACACTTTAACCAGAAGTTCTAACAGTATTTCTGTACTTACATTACAACAATAGCTGAAATTTTCACCCAGAGAGAACCAGTTTTTGACTGGCCATCACTATATTTTTTTACATGGATCTTGCTCTTCCTACATCAAACCATTTTTCAGCTTGTTTGCTGGCCCCGGGTCTATTGACATAGATCGCTGCGGTGAATGCATCAAGTAAATCACAGAGCCCCTACATGCCTGTCCTTCTTGCTGTTACTACTTCTGTTGTTGCTCAGAACATAACCGCAACAAAGGTCGACTCTGTGAGCACACGTATTATAGCGTCACTCTGATGCAAACACTGAGTATTAGAACATTATCATTTACTTGAATAAATTCTACAATACAACATTGCTTATAATTACTGGGAAAAAGTGTGTATTCAGAACATTTTTATTCCTGAGTGTTTATATTATTCCTGTTTCAATTTATATCTACTTAGAACTGTCAACTTTCAAAAGCTTCAGCAAAATCAGTGAATCAATAGGAAGTTATTGGTGTTTTGTCTTCGCCTAATGAAAGATATTATTGCCCAGATAAATGGAAAATATATTTATAAATTCTGCATTCTGCAGTTCTACTGTTATGTAGACTACTTGTTCTACCTTGACACTTTATGAATCACAGGTGAAAAGGGAAATTATTATTATTATAGCTGATTATTCAGGATGCCTTAAAATTAAATAAAAAAGAAAAAAAAGACAGGTAACGGTTAAATAGTATCAGAAGACAAGGTCAAAACAAAGACAAACAGTTAAAACACTGAACTTCCTAACAAATATTGTAGGGATTTTTGCAAGATTTTGCAATATAATTTGTAATTGTTAATTGTAAAATGTAATTATCACAGAATCACACAGAATCACACAGAATCACACAGAATCACAGAATGTTAGAGATTGGAAGGGACCTCAAAAGATCATCTAGTCCAATCCCCCTGCTGGAGCAGGAACACCTAGATCAGATCACACAGGAATGCATCCAATTTGTAAATTGTAATATAATTTTGCAACATTTTGCAATATGTAAACTTCTACATAGGTTCAGAAATGCCATTGGATAGTTGAATGAGCAAAACAAGAAGTGACCATAGCTATTAAACACAAGGCTAGAACCTCTGGCTTAGAAAATATTTGGAGTGGAGTGACTACAAGATCCATAGCCTCATCCTCCAAATCAACGACACTGAAGATTAGAGATGGCAGGCATTTACTTTCTATTTTAAAGCTACACAGTTGTTCTACAAAGTCAGCCTTAAAGTAAAACTCTACTGAGATAAATCCCATTCAACTGGAAGGCATGAACTGCAATATCCTAGTTGAATTAAATAAATATTAATATACCAAGGTACACACTTTAATAAACAACATCTAAAAATGCTAGTAAAACAAAAAAGCTCTAACAAAATGTGCCACAGAAAGTACTTTTTTTCAACACAAGGTCAGAATTGCAGGGTTACATACACTTATTTTGCTCATATATCATCAGCCTATTAAGTAGATGCAATACGACGAAGAGATATGTGTGGGAAGGAGAGGGGGAGTCTTGGGTTATTTAATTCTATTTGTTTCACGAGTGGAACTCCCAT